CGACCTATTCAACATACATAAAAACGTTAAAGAAATGGCAGGACTGCAAAAAAGAAACCACAACACAACTCTTCTAGATAAAAATGGAAATATTATGATAACGACTGACGAAAAACTAAAACGATGAGAAGAGTATATGGAAGAGCTCTTCGACGACGAAAGAGGAAACCTACAAGACTTGTCTTTTGAGGACAGAGAAACAAGTGTAGAAATTACAAAGGAAAAAATACTGTATGCACTAAGGAACACCAGAAACGGAAAAGCCCGGGGTCAGATCAACTGCCTATTGATATCCTTAAAATAATAGAAAATGAGTACATTGATGTCCTCTTAGCGCTTTTTAATAAAATTTATCAATCGGGTGATATACCCAACGAATGGTTGACCTCAACATTCATTTGTCTCCCAAAAAAGAAAAATGTTAGAGAATGCACCGACCACCGTACCATAAGTCTGATGTCTCACACATTTAAATTATTTTTAAAGATCATTCATAAACGCATTTACAAAACACTTGATATGAATATTGAAGAAACTCAATTTGGATTCCGTAATGGCGTAGGTACCCGTGAAGCTCTCTTTGCATTTAACGTACTAATCCAGAGATGCTTGGATGTGAACCAAGATATGCACGTCTGTTTCATAGACTACAACAAAGCTTTCGACAAAGTCCGCCACAAAGAGCTAATGGACATCCTCAAAGCAAAATAACTACAACACAATGACCTTCGAATTATAACAAATCTATATTATAAACAGCAGGCACATGTACACATTAATGAACACACATCAGAAGAGTTCGAAGTTAACAGAGGAGTGCGACAGGGGTGTGTATTGTCACCACTACTATTCAATGCATACTCGGAAGGAAAAACAGCAGGAATCAAGGACAATGGAACACCAATTAACAACATTAGATATGCGGACGATACTATCATAATAGCAGACAACCTCTAAGAGCTCCAAAAGCTAATGAACAAGATAGTTGAGTATGGAGTAGAATATGGATAATCAATAAACACCAAGAAAACCAAATTTATGAGGATATCAAAAACCCAAAATAATGGTGAAAGCCTGACAATTAACGGTATTGCTTTAGAACAAGTTGAAAACTACCACTATCTTGGCACAATAATTAATCACAAACGATTACTCCAAAGAAATCAAAGTTCGAATAGAGAAAGCACGTGCAAACTTCAATAAAATGAGAAAGGTACTTTGCGCAAGAGAACTAAAATTGTACTTGAGAGTTAGACTGGCAAAGTGTTATATTTTCTTGACTCTGCTTTATGGGATGGAAGCATGGACACTTAACGCGTCGACTGCTAGAAAGTTAAAAGCATTTGAAATGTGGGTGTATAGAAGAATCCTGAAGATATCATGGACCGAGCATGTGACAAACAACGAAGTCATGAGAAGAATCAACAAAAGAATGGAAGTATTGGAAACCATCAAGAAACGAAAGCTGCAATACCTGGGGCATGTTATGCGTAATGAGAGATACAACCTACTTCAATTGATTATACAAGGGAAAATCCAGGGCAAGAGAAGTGTAGGAAGAAGAATAATCTCATGGTTGCGTAACTTGAGGGAATGGTACGGATGTACATCAATTGAAATATTCAGAGCAGCAGCATCTGAGATCAGAATAGCCATGATGATTGCCAACCTCGTCGCGGAGATGGCACGTGAATAAAAGCTTTCACAAACAAATAAAATCAACAAAAGAATTGCACGAAGATTTAATTGAGGATGTTTTAAATCAGCTGACCCCATCCCCACCCCGCCTTCGGTCTCAAATGTCGATTTTCATTTTTATTCTGCATCAGGCAACATGTCTACTCACAGTTAATTTTGGCATTAAAACAAACCAGAAGTACGGCTCCTTGTTTGGATAGTTTTATATATAAAATTTTGCACAATCTTCCAGACTCCAGATACTAAGAATCTTAAAAAATTCTTAAATGATAGATGACAAATGCACAAATAAGCTTATCTGAAACCAAATACAGCAGAGTATCCAGACGATCAAAGTCTAATTCTGACGTCACTGGCACCAATGTTTGTAAGCATTTGATCTGCATTACCAGCCAACGCGTAACTTAGCGCATTTTAAAACTGTATCAAATAATTTAATAATTTAGTTGCACAGACGAATTATGATTTTTTTGTAAATATTTACACATTCTTCTTATTACAGTGTCTTGAAAAAGGAATAAAACATTCCGAAAGCTAGACCAAAAGTCAAGAGTGTTTCTTTAACATCCCGGCCAAACTTCTGACTGCAGCCCTAATAAACTGTGTTGTTTATATATATATATATATATATATATATATATATATATATATATATATATATATATATATATATATATCCGGTTCCAAGCCCGGATAAAATCTGGAGGGTGATTGGCAAGGTTAGCAACCTATCAATCATAAAAACAAATACTGCTCAAAACAACAATGTACAGCCTCGGAACCGGATTGATACTATGAAGACGACTACGGCAAGAAATAAGGACAAGCGAAAAACATTCAAAACCCAGATGAGAATTACTACTTGTAATATCACTCAACTCAAGGGACCAAGAAATAACTCAAGTGCTGAAAGAGAAAGAAATAGACATTTGTGCTCTACAGGAAACAAAAAAGCTAGGAAAGGTCAATCAAAATTAGGTGAATACATACTAATCTACAGTGGAGTAGTAAAAGAAAACAGGGCCAAAGAAGGTGTAGCCTTACTAATACACTAAAGGTACCAAAATGACATCAAAGAGTGTCAATACATATCAGAAAGAATAGTAACAGCAAAGATAAAAATGGAGAAAGAAGACTTGAACATCATCGGAGTATACGATGCACCCAGAAAATAATAAGCATCAAACAACAAGGGAAGCGTTTGACGAGCAATTAAAACAGGTAGTAGATCAAGTCAGATGAACGATGATAATATTGGGGGATTTTAACGCTCGAATAGGCAACCAAGTAATACCCGGCATCAAACAAAAACATAACGAGAATGTTAAAAACGAAAATGGAGAACTGATGATCAACTTCTGTACGATTAACGAACTAAAAATAAACAACACATTGTTTGACCACAAAGACCAATACAAATATACATAATAACACCCGTGAACAAAGATCTATGATAGATTATATTATATATAGATTATATATATATATATATATATATATATATATATATATATATATATATATATCCATCAAAAATAATTGACGTAAGATGCCTCAACTCAGCAGATGTAGTTAGCGACCATAGCCTAGTATTATGTAAAATAAGAATAATCCTGAAATACTTCCCACCCAAGAGAGCGGCGCCAACATAAACAAAAATCAAAGTCGAAGGACTAAATACGGAATCGACATAATACTTACACAGGAAAAGAATATCAGAGAAGATCGCTGGGAATGAAATATTAGAAAACGATAACATCGAGGAAAGCTGGTAAAAACTCAAAAATAATATAATTAACGCAGCAACAGAATCATTTGGAGAGAGGAAAGTAACGAACACTAACATATTAAAAAAGAAAACACCATGGTTTAGAGAGGAAGTGAAGACAAAATGTGAAGAAAAGAAGAAAGCCTTTTTACAATACAGAACACAACAAACACAACAGGCATACAACCACTATAAACGAATCAGAAATGAAACGAATACTTAAGTTAGACAAATAAAAAAGGAACACTGGCAGAGTTTCTCAAAACAGATGGAACACGATTTCTACGAAACACAAAAACAAATATGGAGAATGATCAGAGGACAAAGAAAAGACATGAACGAACTAATAAAAACGAAACACATTCAGAAGTAAACATGGGTAGACTATTTTCGATCCCTGATTGCTAAAGGTGACGATAATGAACAACCAACACCACAGGTGACGACAAACGAAGAAATAAATATTGAGGAGGAAGAGGTAAAAGAAGCATTAAGGAAATTAAAAAATAGGAAATCACCAGGAGAGGACAGAATTCCGAACGAACTCCTAAAGTACGGAGGACCAGATCTGACCAAACAACTATTAAAACTAATTCAAAAAATAATAGAACAAAACAGAATTCCTCAAGAATGGAGATCAAGCATCCTAATACCTCTCTTCAAAAAGGGAGACAAATCGGACCCCGAAAATTACAGAGGAATTAATTTTTTAAACACGACACTAAAATTAACAACTAAAGTGATAACAAATAAATTGAATGAAATTATAACACTAGCAGAAGAACAACAAGGTTTTAGGTCGGGAAGATCATGCACCGACGCTATATTTATAATGAGGCAAGTGAAAGAGAAATCATTAGAATACAACAAACCGGAATATCTATGTTTCGTGGACCTTACAAAGGCATTTGACCGGGTCAAATTAAAAAAGTTATCCACTTACTGTATGCAAGAGAGACATCTCTAGGAATAATCAAAACGATCGAAAATATCTACCAAAACAACACAATAAAAGTAAAAATCCACAAGGAATCTACGTTACCGTAGTTGGCTGTATACCATATATTAAAAAAATTATTAAGAATCCTATTCCATCATCAGTGTCCTAGAAAATATTTAACCACTTAATTTAAAAGAACATAGGTTTAAAATTTTTGACTAAGGTTAATACAAAGTGTGGTTAATACTTACTAAGAGTACATGAATGTAGCCACTAAAAAAAGTAAAAGTAGAAGAAGAACTAACCGACCCTATTGAAGCTGACAATGGGATAAGACAGGTAGATTCGCTGAGTCCTCTATTGGTCAACCTGATTATGGATGAAATTATAAAAAAAGTATTTATTATTTATTAAATTTTCATTACATTCCGATTTGTTTTCATTATTTTTTATTGATGTTATAAGAGTTCTTAACAACTGCACTACCATCTCTTGAGGTTTTTCTTCAGTATCGGTTTCTTTACTATATAATAATGTGCCGTTAGCTTTCGACTTGATCTCACTAGTTTAACCTAAACTTTCTGTTGGTTTTACTTCACTTGTAACATTTATTATAACTGAGGATGTAATGGGTTCTGATTGAGTTTCAGCTTTTTGCCCTTTTTGCGATTCATTCGCTGTATTTTGCTCTTCAATTATGGAGGTGTATACTCTTGTTGTATGTGACTTTGTATAATTGCAGCAGTTGAATTCAATTTTAGTTTTGCTGTTTCCCTGTTCGTCGATGGTTTTAGCGCCGACTAAAATAGGATTCTTGGCATTAACAAGAAATGTCGAAAACGTCAGTAAGATAATTAACACCAAAATTTGATACGATAAATACATTTTGGAAAGGACTAGTTGACAGTGTATACCGGAGTATACACCTCCATAATTGAAGAGCAAAATACAGTGAATGAATCGCAAAAGGGGCAAAAAGCTGAAACTCAATCAGAACCCATTACATCCTCAGTTATAATAAATGTCACAAGTGAAGTAAAACCAACAGGAAGTTTAGGTCAAACTAGTGAGATCAAGTCGGAAGCTAACGACACATTATTAGATAGTAAAGAAACCGATACTCAAGAAAAACCTCAAGAGATGGTAGTGCAGTTGTTAAGAACTCGTATAACATCAATAAAAAATAAAAAAAAGTAATAACAAAAAAGGATACTAAATGGGAGAAAAACAACTTAAAATAATCTGCTATATAGACGACGCAATACTACTCTCTCAAAGTGAAGATGATTTACAACGTATGCTGCACCAATTTAATATAACCGCCAGAAAATTTAACATGTTAATTTCCCCAACAAAGACAAAATGCATGGTTACAACAGCAAATTTACTAAGATGTAAATTGGAGCTGGAAGGTCAGATAATAGAACAAGTGATGGAGTTTAAATATCTAGAGCAGAGATAAAAACACTTAAAAAAATTTATGGTGACACTATGGGACAGAGCTAGAAGTACAGATATACGATATAGATGCAAGGTGGAGAACATCAAAAACTGGGTAAGAAATAGAAGAGTAGAATGGAACGATCATATAAGCAGAATGACAACAAATAGACTAGTAAAGACGGCAAGAGACGGTTCCCCAATAGGAAGACGATCAGTAGGAAGACCACGAAAACGATGAAATGACAACTTACTGGAGGCATATTGAAAAACAGTCATGTCTATATAAAAAAGAATATATATATATATATATATATATATATATATATATATATATATATATATATATATATATATATATATATATATATATATATATATATATACAGCTGAACTGCATAGTTTGATGGATGATACTATAAAAGTTCATATGAACGATGTATTACAGACTTAAAGTATATCTTTTGATGCATGTGCGATTAATTAAACACTAATGGTTTTAGTTTTTCGTAGCAAAAGAGAGCGGTTATGTGTCCTATTAGGCACATGCTTAAAACTCTATATTCTGTATCTTGGCACCCATATTGATAATAAACCCTTATGAACTAGCCACACAAAACACGTAAAGCAAAAATGTAAGAAACGGCTCACCATTTATTTTATTAGCCTTACATTCGCTCAATAATGGATTATGGATATAGTCTTTATGCCTCAACTAGCAAATCCTTATTAATGTTGGACACAATTCGATAAAAGACAATTAAAATACGTCTAGGAACTATGGGCAAAAATGGTAAACGCCCGGGTCGTCCAAAACTAGTCTATGATAGTGTAATGTCTTTATTAATTCTAATTTATTGTCTTTATTATTTATTAAAGGTTCTATACTTATAACACTTATAACACTCAGGGGTAGTGGGTAGGAACTCCTTAGACAGTCCTATCAGGGAGAATGAATCATTCCCTGCCCTCCACCGATTCCAGGTGTTTCTTGACCCGGGAAACTAGTATCTGCTCAGGGTCCCTTGTCCAGGGTCACGGATGAAGACCACAACGGCATTCAAGGCGGAGAAGGATACCTTCGGTACGGCGAGGATGGCGGAAGTGGCACCCCCTGATTTTAGGGTTAATATAAAATCAGTAGCGTCTGATCCAGAGTGGACGGCTACGAACAGCGTCTGACCACTCTGACCCAGAGTGGGCAGCTGAATATACATTCACCAACCCGTCTGACCAGCGTGGTGTTTTATGGTCAACACCTCTCTTCTCAAATAGCGAATACAAACCCGAACGGAACTGGTCCCCAGGTAGGTGGTTCACATTGTGGCAAATCCTACACCTTATCTTATGTTGTCAATACAGACAACAAAAATGTATATCTCAACTTTCAATGTAAGATCTTTGTCTAAAGACGAGAAACTCTATGAATTAGAGAAAGAAGTTAAACAGCTGCAATGGGACATAATCGGACTATCGGAGGTAAAAAGAAAAGATGAAAACTGCATATCGCTAGAGTCTGGAAACATTGTATATTAAAGGTAGAGAAAACGAACGTTTAGATGGAGGAATAACAGAAAGAATCGCTTTATTAACTATAAATTTCAGAGAAAAGGTCACTTTAAAAATAATTCAGATTTATGCGCCAACATCTACACACACAGACGAAGAAATGGAAAAATTCTATGAGCACCTCATAGAGTCCATAACATATCGAAACACTACCTACACGATTATAATGGGCGATTTTAATGCTAAAATAGGCAAAAAACTAGAAGAAAACGAAAACTGTATTGGAGAATTTGGACATGGAGTAAGAAATGAAAGAGGAGATCTATTGGTTAACTATCTAGAAAACAACAAATTATTTGCCATGAACTCTTTCTTTAAGAAAAAGCCACATAGGAAATAGACGTGGATGTCGCCAGATGGGAACACTAAAAATGAAATTGACTACATACTAACAAACAAAAAGAACATTTTCGAAGACGTCATAGTAATAAACTCAATCTCTACTGGTAGTGATCACAGAACGATACGGGCTAAAATAAGTATTCAACACAGAAAAGATCGAAGACAATATGTGCACTCAGAAAAAAGTCCACCCAGAAAAATTAAAGGAGAATAAAGAAAATACCAAAACAAATTAAGAACAGTTGAAGAACTAAAGCCAGCAGACCTAAATCTAGATCAACTAAACAAAGAAGAACTGAAGAAAAAGAAACACTGAAGAACTTCCAAAGACGAGCTTAGAAGTAGCACCAGCAATATCAGACAAAAAATCAAAACTAAGTGCCATATCTTTAGACATGCTACAACAACGGAGAAGCCTACTACAAGAAAATAAAAGAAATGCAACTGAATACAAAACCCTTAATGCAGAAATAAGAAGACATATAAAACAAGATCTCAAACAGCATCAAGAAGAACGAATCGAGAAGATTATAGAAGAAAATAGAAACTTAAGATCTATTAAGTCCCACCTAGGAATAAATAAAATCATCTTATGGTGCCCTATTAAATTAGTGGATGTTGGCGACAATTCTGGCATACTCCTCTCGATCTTGTGTGGCTCTAAAAAGTGCATGGGCATCGAGATTTGTCCAATCCCTTATGTTTTTAAGCCATGAGTATTTCTTTCTTCCGATGCCTCGTTTTCCTTCTATCTTCTCTTCCATAGTAAGCTTTAAGAACTGGTACTTGGAATTTCGAAATATATGATCCAGATAAGCAGTTTTTCTTCTTTTTATTATTGGCAGCAATTCTTGTTCCCTGCCCATTCGATTTAATACTTCGACATTTGTTGTGTGATATGTCCAGGGAATTTTAAGTAGTCTTCTAAATACCCACATTTCAGAGGCCTCCAATCGGTTCATCACATTGGCCTTTATCGTCCAGGTTTCTACACCATATAGCAGTATGGAGTAAATGTAACATTTTACAAAGCGATATCGAAGCGTTAAATTGAGGCTGCTGTTGCTTAGCAAGGTTCTCATATTAGTAAATGCTGTTCTGGCTTGCTCAATCCTGCTACGTATCTCTATGTCTGGATCTAGATCTTCAGTTATCCAACTACCGAGATATCTGAACTTGAGGACCTTTTGGATGTTTTTGTTGTTTACTCTTATATTTAATTGCATATTTCGTGTTCTACTAACCACCATTACCTTCGTCTTGTCTATATTAATCTTCAAGCCCAGTCGTTCTCCCTCAGTGTTTATTCTATCTATTAGTCGTTGTAGCGCTTCTTGGCTATCAGCTATTATGACTGTATCATCAGCATATCGAAGATTATTAATAGTCTGTCCATTGATTTTGATTCCATCTTCAGTGTCACTTAAGGCTTTATCAAAAATCGTTTCAGAGTAAAGATTAAAAAGGAGGGGTGACAGAACACAACCCTGTCGTACACCTTTTTCAATTGAGAAAGATGATGTAGATTCCATTCCTAATCTCACAGATGCCTCTTGATTCTGTCGCCAAATGCAGATTTCGGAATTTGCGATTGGCTAAAAAGCAACGATATTGCGACCAATCGTAATTTTGGAATCTGCTGCTCGATTTCTGTATTATCGTTGGTCGATTTACAACAGACTTGTAGCCAATGATAATTCTCGGAATTGAGCATTAGCTATCGTGCTGGTCCAATAGCCAGCGGTACAAAAAGACCGTTGGAGATTGACCTACTTTTTCGTCTATAAAAACGATGCACGATGGCCAATACGGCAGACCAGGTCAGGATAGGTCCGCTGGTCCAGCCTTCTTGGCATATAAGAGATCCTCTGATAGATTTAGTTCTCAGAGCCTCTGTTTCATTACCCAGAACCTAACGTTCTCTCCATATCCAGAGCCTAACGCTCTCAACTTTAAACCCAGAGATTCACGCTCTCATCTTTAACTTTAAGAGTTCCAGAGCGAACTTCTGTCGGTTTGTGTACAAACCAACAGCGGCCATTTTTGAGGGATTATTTCTGCTTTTCGACTTAGTCGAATTTGCTAATAATTCCCTTAAGAGCGTCGCATTTTCGCCGATTTAATCTGTACTTTCAGACTTGGTCTGAAATCTGATTATTTCGGTATCTTACAAGTCGTGTAAGAAGATTGTTCTCTTCCAGGTTATTTTTGCTAAGTTCCTTACTTAACAGGACTTAGCCACCGGACGGTACAGTATAAGATTAAGAGAAATGAACTTATAAAAATTGCGTTTTATTTCATTCCTACTTTATTCCAACGTGGACCAACGTGGTATCCTGATCTGGTTCGAGACAAGACTTTGTTGGAAAACGTTCAAAGAAAAGCCACTCGAATTTCTTTGGGACCGAGAAGACCGTCTTATGCAGAAAGACTTAGTATGGCTAACCTAACTACTTTTGAACTTCGCCGACAACGTAGAGACTTAATTACAACATTTAAAATACTAAAATTCAATTTTGGAAACCTCGATGAAA